TTTTTGTCGGTCGTGGGGCTTGAACTCCGGGCCTGGGCGCTGTCCCTCAGCTCTTCAGCTCAAGGCGAGTGCTCTACCATTTGAGCTACAGCGCCACTTCCGGTTTTCTGGTGGTTTATTGGAGATAGGAGTCTCACGGTCTTTCCTGCCCAGGCTGGCTTTGAACCGCGATCCTCAGATCTCAGCCTCCTGAGTAGCTAGTATTACAGGCGTGAGCCACCAGCGCCTGGCTGGAGTAACCATTTTCATAGGAAGCAAGAGGGCGCACTTTGTTGGGTACCCATCACAGTGGCCTTAAATTTGGCTGGAAGCGGGGCAGGGTGGGGGAAGGAGGTTGGACTTATCAGGAGCACAGTGAAGAGAGCAAGTGTCCCATACTGCATGGGGCTTTGTGGGGTGACTGGAAGCAAGATTTCAAGTATGGCGATCAGTTTAAGGATCATGGTAGTGACACAGATGATACATTCACCCCAGAACTATTCTGATTGGTAAGGGATCTAGATTCTGTGGAGTGACACATTTCCTTTGTGGTATTGGAAAGTGTGGGTGCAGGGCTGTGAATGCTTTAGACCCCCGTCTGTGTGAGGACTAGTTCTTACGATCTGCTTCATCTATCCACCGAGGCTGGCCAGGCCTGGGCAGCTGTGGGAACTCCGTCCCAGGGACGGAGTTGGTTTTTGGCCATGGAGCCGCAGAGGTGGGGGAGGGGGTGGTAGTGGTGGTAAGGGAGGCACAGGTCTTGTGGAAGGGTTCACCATCAGGTGACATTCCAGCAGGCTCTGCCCAAAGCTTGCTTCCGGGTACATTTCCAGAGGGATCACCCAAGGGTAGCCAGTTGTGGCGAAGGAGTGGTTAAGTCACCTGGTTTCTGAACCCTGGCTCCTTACTTAAAGGGGCCATGGTGGTATCTGAGTCCTCTCAAAATAACCAGTCTCTGCTGCGCCAAGCAGGAAGTCCTGTGGGCCCAAGGAAAAGGGAGACTTGGGGTCTGGCATGGCAGCTGGGGCAGGTGGGGTGAATGACAAGCCTGGGAATGAGGAGGGATGAAATACAAACTGTTTACTAGCAGGCTATGAGCCAAATGGGGCTCCCAGCACAGGTTCCAGGCCCCTGCACCCCCAGCCCTCAGCTCAGAGAGGGACAGCTTTCACTCCACTGGGACCCAGTTATAATGCCAGGGGCTCTAACCCCTAAAAGGGGGAGGGGGGCAGGTGGCCCATGGCTCCTACAAACTGAAACTGTCATCCAGGATGCCTGCTCCCTGGGGACACTGGAAGTCCCTCTGGGAAACACAAATGGCCTCGGGCACTCTCCTCTAAGCAGGTTCCTCAAGGCAGTCTGCAAAATAAAAATTGGCGGGGGGGGGGGGGGGGGGAAGGCCACCCACTGGTGGCTCACACCTGTAATGCCAGCTACTCTGGAGGCTGAGATCTGAGGATCAAGGTTTGACGCCAGCCCAGGCAGGAAAATCTGTGAGACTCTTATCTCCAATCAACTACCAAAGGGCTGAAATGGAGCTGTGGCTCAAGCGGCAGGGTGCCATCCTTGGGTGAAACATCTAAGGGACAACACCCAGGCCCTGAGTTCAAGCCCCAGGACTAGCACATACAGACACACACACAAGTATACACAATTTGGTCAGATAAAGTCAGGGCGGGTAGGGTGGAGACACAAAGAGATAGAAAGATAACACAGGCCAGGGCCCAGATCTCAGCATAGCACATTCTTCCTGTGATGGTGATGATGAAATGGACTTGAAAGAAAGTTGGAGAAGCAATTTTGGCCCACAGGAATATGGGTTCAAACCGTTAGATGTCTTCACTGAAAGGCTTAATGTACAGAGGCTAGACACTCACACGGGGAGGGGAGACTGGACACTGTCTGAGTGCCAGGCTTGTGGGAAGAACATATCTAAAATTAGAAATACTACATTTTGTGCCTATACTAGGGTTTGAACTATGGGCCCAAGCACTGTCCTTTAGTGCTATTTTTTGCTCAAGGCTGGCTCCATAACATTTTCTAGCCACACCTCCGTGACCAGCTTTTTTTGGTGGTTAATTGAAAATAGGAGTCTCACAACTTTCTGCCCCAGCTGGCTTTGAAGCATGATCTTCAGATCTCAGCTTATCTCAGCTTCCTGAGCAGCTAGCATTAACGGTGTAAGCCACCAGTGCCTGGCTCACTTCCCTTTAAGTAGAAGTGGGATTCAGAGAATTGTCAGGTCACACCACTGGCAAGTGTGGGCTTCCTCAGACTTCTCAGACTCCCAGACTTCAGTCTTTCTGGCAGCTCAAAGAAGGGGCAAGTGAAGAAAGGTAGCATCACCCTGCCTGCCAACTGGAAGTGCAGTACTGGACTTGGGGGATAAGATGAGGGACAGCACCATGTTGCTCCACAGTCCCATGCATCGAGTGGGTGGGACCTGTCTGCTTACTTTTTTTTTTTGTCCTTAGTGGGGCCTGAACTCTGGGCCTGGGCGCTGTCCCTCAGCTCTTAAGCTCAAGGCTAGTGCTAGAGCTACAGCACCACTTCCAGTTTTCTGGTGGTTTATTGGAGATAAGAGTTTCACGGACTTTCCTGCCCGGGCTGGCTTTGAACCGCAATCCTCAGATCTCAGCCTCCTGAGTAGCTAGGATTACAGGCATGAGCCACCAGTGCCCGGCTCTGGTTACTTCTGGAAGTGCTATTTTTTTGGTGCAAATGCCCAATGACTTATTAAACCAAGGTAGGGGACATGGGGAGGAGGGTCACTGATGGCACTGTGGTTGAACTACACACATCCACAGAACTTTCCTTCTAGCATTATAGGCTATCCAACTGTAGCTACACCCACCAGAGTCTGATTCACAGGGGGGGGGGGGGAAATGAGGACCAGGCCCTCCCCATCTCTCTATCCCCTCAACCAGCTCAGGTTCTGACACCCAATGCAGAGTTCAACAAAGATCCTAGAAACCCGGAGGTCCTGCTCATCTGTGGAAAGGAACTTGCTTTGTCCTTTGAAGGTAGATCTGGTTCCAGAAGAGCTGGGGTGGGGGTGAGCAGGGGAACAGGGCAGACTTCAGATGCTGCCTTAATTCCATCCCCCTCCCCCAGGACTGAGGGGCAGGGCTCCCATATGCCAGCCCTTTTCCAAATGACGGGAGGGCAAGAAGTGGGGGGGGTGACCAGGCATCAGATACCTCAACCCTTTCCCTGCAAGAAACAAGAGTTATAGGTGAAGCCGGGCGCTGGTGGTTCACGCCTGTAATCCTAGCTACTTAGGAGGCTGAGATCTGAGGATCTCAGTTCAAAGCCAGCCCGGGCAGGAAAGACAGTGAGACTCCTATCTCCAATAAACCACCAGAAAACCGGAAGTGGCGCTGTAGCTCAAGTGGTAGAGTGCTCGCCTTGAGCTGAAGAGCTGAGGGACAGCACCCAGGCCCAGAGTTCAAGCCCCACGACCGACCAAAAAAAAAAAAAAAAGAGTTATAGGTGGGAAGATCTAGATAGGGAAAGTAAGTTCCCCAGTTCAGCCTGTAGGATCCAAGATTCAACTTCAGCTCTGTGGGTCATGTGTCTTCCCATCTTCCAGGCTGTTTGCTCTCTAGTTCTGGGACCTATTAACTGGCTTTTTACTTATGTCAATAAGCAACCCCTTCAGGCCAACTGAGTTAGGTATTAATTTCTGTTTGCCTTTCCTGCACGGATACCCAGCTGCTGGCACTGAGGCAAAACTCCAGCCATCTGTCCATGGGGTCCCTGCCTATTGGAGTGAGAGAGATAAAGGGAAGCTGGGTACTGGTGGCTCTCGCCTATAATCCTAGCTACTCAGGAGGTTGAGATCTGGAGGTCAAAGCTGAAAGCCAGCCTGAGACTCTGATTTCCACTTAACCAGCAAAAAGCCAGATACGGAGCTGTGTGGCTCAAGTGGTAGAATACCAGCCTTAATTTAAAAAGTGAAGAGACCAGGCGCCCAGGTCCCGAGTTCAACCCCCAAGGCTGGCACTCTCCTCTCGCCCAGGAAGAGAGGTGGACAGAGGGGAGGGAAAGGAGAAATCACACACAGCTCTGCACACCCGCTGCCCCTGAAACAATTCAAGGTTTCCCACATTCTCCAGACCAGCCGTCAAAGACAAGGCCAGGCAAGGCACCGGAAGGGATCCAGGGTTCTAGAAAGGCCTGGCCCCACCGCCTGCCCCGCTGCTAAGCAAACATTGCCTCCCAGAGTCGGGCTGGAGTGCGAGGGGAGGAACCAGCCTGAGGTTTATCGCTCCGGCAACCCCGGGTGATTCACTAAGTTAAGAGTCTCGGGTAGTCAGAGACCCGGGCAAGCAAACACACAGCCCGGAGGTCCCCCTCCCCTGCCCTCCCCTCGCCCTGCCCGCCCGCACCTGGCTGCCCCCGAGCCCGGGACCAGCTGCCTCCCCTCCCCCTGCTGGGCGCCCGGGGTTGAACAAACAACGCCGGGCCGCCGGCCCCGCCACCGGCTGGCTCCGACCGCGCGCCGCTGGCGATCCCCCAGGCAACTCGGCGTCACGAGAACCCGCACCCCGACACCCTGCCCTCCCCTCTCGTCCCCAGGGCCCGGACCAGGCCCAACAACCGCCGCCTTCCCGGAGCGTCTCGGCTCCCTCGGGCCTTCCGCGTAAGCCAACCTAGGCCGGGCATGAGGCCCCCCGGGGGGCAGCGCGGCCCCACTCCCGCCCGGCACCGGGGTGGTGGGGGACTCAAGGGAAGGTGGCCGGAAAAATCTCTTGTTTACAGGGCCTGAAGGGCCCCGGCTGCGATTCGCCTTCCTATTCCTGCGGTTCCCTTTCGGCCGATTCTGGGGGCCAGAGAGGGAACGGGTGGTACCCGCGGACCCGCCCCGGCCGGGGAGCGGGCGTGGAGCGCCGAGGAAGCCGATTTCGTGCACGGATTCCCGCGGCCGCCGGAGGGGCAGGGCTCGGAGGCAGAGCCAACGTGGCCAGGAGCGCGGAGGCCGCGGGGGGCCGGGCTAAACCCTGCCCCTCAGGGAACGAACTGGAGGCTGAGGACTGGTCGGAACGGAACAGAGAGCTGGGACGCGGGGTGGCGAGCGCGCTCCGAGTAGGGCCGGGTCTGGAACGCGGGGTGGTCAGGGTGGCGGTGGCATCTGCCCCACGGTCTGCAGCGGCTCTGGGATCGGCCCACGGGGTAAGGGGTGCGCGCGTGGCAACCCCTAGGTAGGAGTCTGGGTGACTCCGGACAGAAGTTCTCCGGACGGGACCGCGCGTACAAGATCTGGACGCACGGTGCGTGGTGCGTCCACGTGTGCAAGTTGGGGAGGGGAGAGGGGGCGCAGGAGACCTCGAGGGACTTTGTGTTTTGAGTGTGCACCTCGCTCCAGCCCAGAGCGGCGGGCGGTGCCCCAGGTGTGTCCCCCGAGGCCACCAGTAAGGTGACAAAGTCTGGGTGTCCACCCGGGGGGAGATGATCCAGAGCGGCCCCCATGCCCTGTGGTAGGCGCACGCACCGGGAGAGGCGAGGCGGGGCAGGGCGGGGCGGAGAGGCCGCCGCCCGCGGAGCGCGCTGAGTTGCACCCCCAAACCACTTTACAGACGAACACCGGGCCCAGAAAGTCGGTGCGCGGGAGTGCGCGCGCGCGGGGGGGCGTGGCGGCAAACAGCAACAACCCACCCGCCGGCTGGGCCACAAACTCCGATTCCCGGCCGGAAAGTGAGCTTCGGCCGAGCCTGGAGGTGAGTCGGAAGGCGGGGGAAGGAGGGAGGGCGGAGGAGGGCGGGCTTTGTTACTGTGTAAACGGATTTGAGCGTACCTGGAGCTCTGGGGGCGCCGGATCCGCGCCCGGAATGGAGGTGATGTCACGGTGATGCAGCCTGGCCCACCCTTCACCGAAGAGAGACGCCGAGCTCCCGGAGGAGGCCGGCGCGAGAGCCAGCGGTCGAGCGCGCCCCGCTCCGTCTGGGTCCCCGGGAGGCAGGCCGTGTGCCCCGCGCCCCGGCCCGGGCCCCGCCACCCTAGCCAGGGCTGGCTCTGGCCCTGAGCCTCGCGTGGAGCCCCTCCCACTTCGGCCCGCGCTCCGCCTGGGGCTGGAGTTGGCTCCAAACACTGTGCCCAAGCGGGGCTGGCTGCGCGTCCCAGGTAAGGGCAGCTAGCCGCGCGCTCCGCCCTCCCCGCCGCTGCCCGGAAGAGCTGGGTCCGGCTGGCAGGGAGTGGGCGAGGGCCGAGGCCTGGGGGTGGAGACCTGGGGGGCCTAGGGGGCCACCGATCTAACTCCTCTCGGGGTGCAGAAAGTTTCCAAATTCGAGCCAGCTGGGGACTAGGGGTGGGGCAAAAGCCCGGCGCAGCGGCTCTGGATGGAGGGCCCAGGAAGGGCTTTGCGATCTGTGCTGTCCGCAGCCCCTCGGCGCGAGTCCCCCGTCCGTGGTGACTTGGGGTCGGCGTCCCCGCTGCCGTGCGCGCCGCCGTGAACGGGGTGCGCAGAGGAACGGGAGGAAGGACAGTGGGCTCACCTGCGCGGCTAGACTTGCAGGGGCGCGGGGTGTGTGTGGGGGGGGTCGTGGACCCCGGTAGGATCCGGAGGGAGGTGGACCCAGGGGTCGAAATCCCCTTTGCGGGATGTTCGGAATTTCACGTTTTCTGGCTGCTGTCCTGGTAGCCCGGTGTCTAGATCTCACTTGTCTTTGGCTTTTCCAGCTCCCCACATCCTGTTCCCCCCACCCCACCCCACCCGCGGTTTTACAGCCGGGAAGATCCAATTGCTTTAAATTCCCCCGATCTCGATCTTACAGCCGGAGGGCTGGAATCTAGAGATGGGTGGTTCGGCAGGGTTGGAGCCCGCCCCTTCCCCAACAGTACGCCTTAAACGTGGGGAGGGAAGAGTGGGGGTGGGGTGCATTCCAGGGTGACATTCCAGAGCAGACCCTTGCCTGCCTCGAAGACCAAGTCTCCCAGTGCTCAGGGCATTTTGGCCCAGATGCCCACTCTTGGTAAAGGGGGGGCACCTGAAATTTGGGGTGACTGACTCTTTACTGACCCAAGCATTTCCCTGGACCCTCCTTAGAGGGTGAGTTAACCATTGGCCCCCTGGAGGGAGGACCGGAACTAGCCTGGGGTTTGGAAAGGTAGTAACAGTGGGTGGGGGAACAGGAGGAGCGCGGAAGGCTAGGTGGGCAGCCTGGAAGTGGCTCTGGTCACAATCCTGTAGTCCATGTCCCACTCTCTTACTCTTAGGACTATTTAGCCCCAGATGCTGGAGCTGATTTTCCTCTAAGAGTTTTCAAGGGTGTGAGGGGAGGGAGAAGGTTGTGTACTTGTAAAGGTGAGGCCTGTGTGTATCTCTCCCTCCACCCCCCCCCCCAAGTGAAACCAGTAGGTGCTGGCTGAGCCTTTAGCCCACCAGTACCCAGTACTGTGAAAGCCTTTCTGCTTCCCCCGCCCCCCCCCCCAGGGAGGAAAGGGATTCAGGAACTGGATTGGACTGCCTCAGACCAGAACTGGGGGCTGGGTGGTTGAGCTGAACCCTGGGAAAAGGCTGATTTCCGAGATGATTACAAATATGTCTAAGACTGATTTCAAAGGGATGAAACCAAAGGGCCCTTTTGTCTAGAAATGAGTCTGAAGCTGGGCCTCTCACCTTGTGGACTGCTGGAGGCTTCCAGGGCAGAAGTCCCTCTTCTTCCCCTGGGAATCTTTACACAAATACAACTGAGGCAGAGGTGGGTCATGTCTGTTCAGCAGATTGGTTGTCACATGCCCACTGTGTCCTAGTCCTGGTGTCTGTCTTGGTTGCCAACCTCAAACATAACCACTTGGTAGGAGAGGCAGGTCCACAGAATGTAAGTGTTCAAGGGCACAGGAAGCTCAGTCTGAGAGCAGAGCAGGGGATAGAGACTGAGGGGGGGGGGTGCTGAGGAAGTGCCTCTGGGCAGGCCTGGTCCCTGCAGTCACTTAGTCACCACTTGCTGACTGACGGTGCACTCTTGGGTGTCAAAGGTATTTGGCTGAGCTCCTCTGAGTTTTCTTCTCTTGAATACTCCTGCTTGTCTCAAGGGTCCCTCTTCTAGCAGGGGATGGGAGCCAGACCCAGCCCGTCTTATTTTTCCCAGCTGGGTCTATGTATTTCTTTTTCTTTTTTGGTAAGTCGTGGGGCTTGAACTCTGGGCTTGGATGCTGTCCCTGCGCTCTTCCCTGTGCTCTACCCCTTGAGCCACAGTGCCACTTCCAGGTCTATGTATTTCTGTTTCTCCACGTGTCCTCTATGTGAGGGGAAGCCGAGGAATGGAGACATTTCAGGATTGGGTATAGGTTGTCTCACCTGAGACTGAAGTGTCAGAGCAGCTGAGCAACCTGGATGGGACGATCAGACTTCTGGTTGGTTCTTTCTAAGTTCTTTCTAGCAAAGCCAGGTGTGGGTGGCTCATGCTCCAGGTTCAAAGCCAGCAAGAAAGCGTGTAAGACTCTTATCTCCAATTAACCAGCAAAAAGCCAGAAGTGGAGCTGTGGCCCAAGTGGTAGAGCAGCTAGACTTGAGCAGAAGAGCTCAGGGACAGTTCCCAGGCCCTAAGTTCAAGCCCCATGTTGAGGGGTTTGGTGGCAAAGATGAGACTTTTGAAGGATGCCGTCCAGGAAGAACTTGGTCAGTCAGGAGAACTTAGGGGTAGGAGGCTGACCATGGCCCTGGGGGTCAGCAAGAGAACAGGCAAGGGCTCCTTCCCCTCCCCTTCCTTCCTCTCACTCTTCCTTCCTCTTCACTTCCCCTTCCTCCTCTTTTCAACCCTCCCCTTTCTCCCTCCTTGCCTTTCTTGTCTTCTTCCTCCTTTTTTCTCTTTTGCTTTTGTGAAAATGTCAGGGCTTGAACTCAGGCCCTTGTGCTCTCACTCAGAGCTTTGTTGCTCGCTTCTGGTGCTACCACACCACTTGAGCCATGCCTCCAGTTTGGCATTTTGATAGTTAATTGGAAATTAGAGTCTCAGAATTTTCCACCTAGGCTGGCGTCGAACCACAATCCTCAAATTACAGCCTCCTGAGAAGCTAGGATTATAGGCATGAGCTACCAGTACCCAGTGCTGGAGGTAGAGCCCAGGGCCTCACACTCACCAGACAAGCATTCTACCACTGAGTTAAACCCTTAGCCCTGGCTGTTTTCAGGTGTGGACCTGAGAGTTATGTTTGCATACCTTTTCCTACATTCTGCTGTCCTTTAGAGGCTTTTTGGCAATGATGGCACAGATAAGGCTATTGTGGTTTTATAGTTAGCTTTGATCTTTAAGCTAGGATAAACATGTCTCCAACAAATTGATTGTTGGGCTTTTTTTTTTTTTGGTCCGGTCGTGGGGCCTGAACTCTGGGCCTGGACACTGTCCCTCAGCTCTTCAGCTCAAGGCTAGTGCTCTACCACTTGAGCCACAGTGCCACTTCCGGCTTTTTGCTTATGTGGTGCTGAGGAATCAAACCCAGGGCCTTGAGCATGCAAGACAAGCGCTCTACCACTGAGCCACCTTCCCAGCCCCCGGGCTTTTTTTTTTTCCTTCCCGACTTGCCTCTTTTGGGGTGGTACTGACTGGAGTTTGAACTCTAGGATTCTTGCTTGCTAGCCAGGTGCCCCCTCCACTTCCACTACTCTGCAAATGTTGTGTTAGTTCTTTCCAAGATGGAATCTTACATGATGCATGGGCTGGCTGGGACTGTGATCCTCCTATTTGTGCCTCCCTGTGTTGTTGAGATGGCCCATGTGCATCTCTGCACCCAACCCTTTTGCTTTTCCCACAACTTGGGACCTCTCTACACACCCCACCATTGATTGAATGCGGTCTCTCCAACTTTCATGCCCAAATCACAATCTCTGATCTTTACCTCCCAAGTAATTAGGATCACAAGCTTGAGTCACCATATCCAGCTCAGACTCATCTCTTAAAGCAGCCCTGGATATGCCTTCTTCAGTGAGCCCCCATTGCTTCTCTAGAATGCATTGCCAAGCTCTTGCCCTACTGCATTTCTGGCTGTCACGAACCAGCTGCAGCCTCTTACAGGAGTTTACTCCATACTTGGTGAATCTGGATTTTTTTTTCTTGTGACTTTGGACTGAAATCAAGACATCTCTTTTGTTCTGTGTGTGTGTGTATACACGTGTGTACGTACACGTGTGTATGTGCATGTGCATGCCAGTTTTAGGGCTTGAACTCATGGCCCAGCTGTAATCCCTGAGCTTTTTGTTCAAGGCTAGTACTCTACGACTTGAACCACAGCTCCACTTCTGGCTTTTAGGTGGTTAATGGAGATAAGAGTCACTTGGACTTTTCTGCCCTGGGGTAGCTTTGAACAGTCCTCTGAGTTTAGCTTCTTGAGTAGCAAGGGTTACCGGACTGAGCCACTGGGACTTGTCCAAATCTTTTCTGTTTGGGAAGGTGCAAATGTGTCCTGGTTGTTTTCAGTGTTCAGGTTCATATTGTAACTGTACCCCAAGTTCTAGCTGAGTTACTGTGGGCCATACTCCCCAAGATTGAATTAAACCATGTAGGATCTCCCAGATGGGTCCATATTACTCTTACCCATTAGCTCTCTCTCATTGTTTGTGTTTGTAGTACTGGTGCTTTATTGATTCAAACTACACAAAGGCCCTAGGAAAGCTGAAGTAGGTCTCAGGAGAAAGGAGCTTTTTCATTATAAACGAAGAGAAACTGGCTTTTACGATCCTTGTAATTTAGGAAAAATAATGATAAATAAGCAAACTTAATTGGACTATGAAGGGGGGGGTGAAGTTGGCTTATGATACCTAAAATATTTTCAAGGAGCAAGAACATTTGAAAATTGATCATTTATCAGTTATGGAAGGACATATTATTGAATGAGATTTGGGAGTTTGGGTTATTTATCGGAAATTGTGTAGCCATTGCTGGGTGTGGTGGTGGAAGCTTATAATCCTAGAACTTCAGAGGCTGAGGCAGGAGGATTAGAGTTTGAGACTGGCTTGGACTACCAGGAAAGAAAAAGAAAAAAAAGAGGGTGGGGTGGGGTAGTTAAGAGCTGTAGTTAGAAATGCTACTCTAGTATCAGCCACTAGTAGTCGCTGTCATCACAGGAAAGCTTGGTTGCTGTCTCTGGAGCCATGGGAAAGGCCTGGCTTCAACTAGTTACTTGAACATTTAGGGTGACTTAAATGTGGAAGACCTGTACTTCATAGAATTTTGGACTTTATAAACTTTCAGAGCATCTAACAAAAAAGAGATCGGGGACAGCACTCTGGCCCTGAGTTTAAGCCTCAGGACTGACACAAAAAACAACAAAGGGACAATCTAGTTGGTATGGAGACCTGGTTTTTCTTTCTTTTTTGGTTGGTCATGGGGCTTGAACATAGGGCCTGGGCACTGTACCTGAGCTCTTTTGCTCAATGCTAGTACTCTACCATTTTGAGTCTTAGCACCACTTCCGTTTTTCTGGTGGTTAATGGGAGATAAGAAGCTCACAGACTTTCCTGCCTGGGCTGGCTTTGAACCACAATCCTCAGATCTCAGTGCCCTGAGTAGCTAGGATTACAGGAGTGAGCCACCAGCGCCCAGCTGAGCTGGTTTTCTTTGGTGCAGATCTCCAGCGTTATTAACACCTTCCTGGTGTTAATAAAAGATATGGTTCTTAGCTACAATGGCTTTAAATCTTCCATTAAATATTATTGGCTTTGCATTGCTTTTGCCTGGCTTTTAAAATGGTAATGCTTTATAGAAGAGTTTTTGTATTAAGTCATTAACACCTTAGTAAAGAGGTTAGTTTATTTGTGTGTGCATGTGTGTGCTTGTGTATGTATACATAGTATCTGTGCCTTTGCTGGTACTGGGTTTTTTGTTTTGTTTTGTTGCTCAGGCTGACTCTACCACTCTAGACACAGTTCCACTTCTGGCTGCTTGATAGTTAATTGGAGATAAGAGTCTCTTGGACTTGTCTAAACCAGGTTGGCTTCTCAGATCTCAGTCTCCTGAGTAGCTCACACAACAAGTTTGGACTATGAGCACCTGGCAGTTTATTCTTAACTTCAGCCTCTGAGCCACACAAAGAACTCTAGGCTCTAAAGAGGAAAGTTGGCACTAAAGGGGGGAAATGAAGGACAAAAAAGGGAGGAAGTGGTAGGACTGGGGAAGGTTTGGTAAACATAACTTTTAGTCTTATCTCTTCTTTTTTTTTCTGGCTGGCAGCTATGCCTGCCACAGGTACTTGTTAAGTCCTTATTAAGTGTTTGTTAAGTACTTGTTGAATGATGAATGATTAATGGAGGAATGCATGGTTGACTAGCCAGGGACTTGGGCGTAGAATCTGACCTGAACCCTGGAAATTCCAAGGCAGAGGAGGAAGGGCTGAACAGGTTATATACCTCTAGCTCCTGGATCTCAGGGAGTATTTAAGCCCGAGATTTGATGGGTGAAACTAGTGAGAATTTTCTCATTTTCCATGTTTAAGAATAGAGATGACAGGGGCTGGGAAGGTGGCTCAGTGGTAGAGTGCTTGCCTTGCATGCATGAGGTCCTGGGTTCGATTCCTCAGCACCACATAAGCAGAAAAAGCTGGAAGTGGTGCTGTGGCTCAAGTGGTAGAGCACTAGCCTTGAGCTGAAGAGCTGAGGGACAGTGCCCAGGCCCAGAGTTTAGGCACCATGACTGGCAAAAAAAAAAGAATAGAGATAACAGATGGGTTTCATCTCTGGTCAGTTGATAAGTCTTTGTGTGAGTTCTGTGTTAAGAAAGATTCTGAGCCAGGCACCAGTGGCTCACGCCTGTAAATCCTAGCTACGCTGGAGGCTGAGATCTGAGAATTATAGTTCAAAGCCAGCCCAGACAGACAAATCTGAGAGATCAACCACCAACTAACTGCCAGAAGTGGAGGTGTGGCTCAAGTGGTAGAACACTAGTCCTGAGTGAAAAAGCCACATGGGAGCGCAAGGCCCTGAATTCAAGCCACAGTACCAGCACCAAAAACAAAACAAACACCACCCCCTTACCCCTCGCCTCCCCCCAAAATAAAAGAAGCGTTCTGAAGCCCAGAGCTCTGGGCGACCATCTCCTGATGGACTAGCACTGTCTTCCCTGGTTCTGATGGAGGAGGAACACGGTGCCTGTTGGAATCTGGCTCTGGGGAACTGATTTTGCCTTTTCTTCCTCTGACTCTAGGGACCCAGCTGGAGCCTGGCCTGGGAGCCAGGATGGCCACCCACCAAACTCTGCTGATATGCCTGGGATTGCCTCTTTTATTATTTCCCAGGACCCAGGCTCAGAATCATGCCCCACCGGGTTGCAGCCCAGATCTCAACCCCATCTACTACAACCTGTGTGACCGCTCCGGGGCTTGGGGCATCGTCCTGGAGGCCGTGGCCGGGGCGGGCATCATCACCACGTTTGTGCTCACCATCATCCTGGTGGCCAGCCTCCCCTTCGTGCAGGACACCAAGAAACGGAGCCTGCTGGGAACTCAGGTCTTCTTCCTGCTGGGCACCCTCGGCCTCTTCTGCCTGGTGTTCGCCTGCGTGGTGAAGCCAGACTTTTCCACCTGCGCCTCCCGCCGGTTCCTCTTCGGGGTTCTGTTCGCTATCTGCTTCTCCTGTTTGTTGGCCCACGTGTTTGCACTCAACTTCCTGGCCCGGAAGAACCATGGGCCCCGGGGTTGGGTGCTTTTCGCCGTGGCTCTGCTGCTGACGCTCGTGGAGGTCATCATCAACACCGAGTGGCTTATCATCACCTTGGTCCGAGGAGGAGGAGGAGGAGGAAGTGGAGGAGGGGAGGTGGGCCCTCTGAGCAATGGCAGTGCGGCCTGGACCGTGACTTCTGCCTGCGCCATTGCCAACATGGACTTCGTCATGGCGCTTATCTATGTGATGCTGCTGCTGCTGGGGGGCTTCGTGGGGGCCTGGCCTGCCCTGTGTGGCCGCTTCAAGCGCTGGCGGAAGCACGGGGTCTTCGTGCTGCTCACCACGACCATGTCCATCGCCATCTGGGTGGTGTGGATTGTCATGTACACCTACGGCAACCAGCAGCACAACAGCCCCACCTGGGATGACCCTACGCTAGCCATTGCCCTGGCCGCCAATGCCTGGGCTTTTGTCCTCTTCTACGTCATCCCCGAGGTCTCCCAAGTGACCAAGCCCAGCCCTGAGCAGAGCTACCAGGGTGACATGTACCCTACCCGGGGCGTGGGCTACGAGACCATCCTAAAAGAGCAGACTGGCCAGAGCATGTTTGTGGAGAACAAGGCATTTTCCATGGATGAGCCAGGCTCAGGTAAGTCCTGGTGGACACCCTCTGTCCCTCCCTTCTTTTATCTTTCACTGCAGGCCAGAGAACTGGTTGTGAGCCAAATGGAAGGTTCTTAGGGTTGTGGACAATTTTCTACCTTCGTATTCCCTAGTGGTCCAGCCCTTGTCTAGCAAGGCCCCTGGTTCTACCCTCAGCTTTCACCAGAAAACGAAAAAGCTCTTAAGTCATCACATCGTGAACTGTGTACTAGCATCTACTGAGCACCTACTGTGTACCAGCCACACTTTCTAACCTGATCTAGAGGCACAATCGCAAAACCCTGCCCTGATCTCAGGCTCTTTGTGTTGTTTAAGATGCTTTGAGCAAGCCAGGAACAAGGTGGCTTAGGTCTGTAATCCTAGCTATTCAGGGGCTTAGATCTGTCTCCAGTGATAGAGCGTTAGCCTTGAGTGGACAAACTAAAGGACAGTGCCCAGTACCTGTACACATGAAATAAAGATACTTGGAGCAGTTCTAGTGGCTAGGATTGTTTTTTTTCTGGTCCCGTCGTGGGGCCTGAACTCTGGGCCTGGGCGCTGTCCCTCAGCTCTTCAGCTCAAGGCTAACACTCTACCAGCTTATGTGGTGCTGGGGAATCGAACCCAGGGCCTCAGGCATGCAAGGCAAGCGCTCTACCACTGAGCCACCTTCCCAGCCCCGTGGCTAGGATTGTTAATCCCAACATTTAGGTGACTGAGGCAGAATGATCCTGAATTTGAGGATAGCCTGGCTACCTAGGAAGACCCTATTTTCAAAAAGAACAAAACGAAACAGAAGAACAAACAAAACTCAGTACCAAGAATTGGTAAAGAAAGAAGGTAGATGCTGTAGTCCCCTCATAACTGCCCCCAAAGAAGAAAAAAGCTGGATGTGGTGACACATACCTGTAATCCAGGCACCTTGCACGGTTCCAAGTTATTAAAAAAACACCACCAGCAAAAAATGTTTAGGAGCTGAGACATGGTTACTGTGCATGCTTACTGAGCATGGGGATTGGGGGCGGGGGCGCAGCGACACTGGGTGTCCCAGAATGAATGCCTGTTCCGCACTGGGAGAGTCTTTTTTTTTTTTTTTGGTTTGTGTGGGGCCTGAACTCTGGGCCTGGGCGCTGTCCTTCAGCTCAAGGCAAGCACTCTACCACTGAGCCACCTTCCCAGCCCCAGGAGAGCCTCTTAATCCCTGCTGTGGAGACAGGAGTGACCTTTGCCCTCTTGGACTCTGGGACCTGTAACTCCGCCCCTACCTGCTGGCCATTGCCTCCACCCTGGGTGCTGGGCAGAACTTCAGGGCACAGCCCCCCAGCTCGGGTCTCATCTTGAGATCTGTTTGTCAGGCCCATAGTTCTAGCCTTTGTTCTCGCAGATACTTCTGGGCTATGAGGTTTTTGGTGTTTTTTTTTAAGAAAACTAAATGGAAAAATCAATAGAGTGAGGCTAGCACTTAGAAGCCATGTAGATATGTATATAGTTTGTGGTCCCTGCGTGCAGGAGACAGACCCGGCCCTGTGCCACCCTGCGCTTGGCTACTCTTGGGTTCTGAGTTGGTCTGCAGCTTCCCTCAAACACCCCAGGGGTGCCCAGCAGGGTGGAACAGATCAGGAAATCAACACCCAAAGGCACAGGAAAGTATTCTTGGAGCTGCAAATAGTTCTGGAAGCCTGCCAGGGGGCCAAGGATGGGATGAGCATGCAATCTTTGTGGCCAGGCCCTGGATTGGGCATGCAACACAACACTGTCAGTGGCCAGCCCTGCCCTGTGGGGATTTGAAGACTTGGGCTGAGGAAGGGAAGCAGGGGGGGGGGTCTCAGCTGTACCCCCTCCCCCCTGGCCCCATCCAGTGCCTGGCAGCTGTAAAGGCCAGAACTGGAGGCTGGCCATCTTGGAAGGCAGCCGAAGGCCCATGTGCCCCTCTTGGCCTCTGGCCCTGAGGGCGGATGAGGATGTGAAGGTTGCTGACAGGGCATTTTTCTCAGCTGTTGAGGGGGAGTAGGGACTGGGCGGGGGGGTGCTGTACTACAGAACCAAGCAGCATTGTGCTCTCCTCCTGGGTATCTGTACTAAGGGGCGTGGGGGTTGGAGGGGTACCCCAAAGTCAGCTACTCTGGGTCAGATGTCACTCCAGAGGCAGTGTGGTCCTCCCTTCTGTTGCTTGGGTTGTGGGAGGTGGATAAGAGTGGGGGGTGAGCCAGGCTCCCCACCCCCAGGATTCTCAAATCATACCTATTTCTCCTCGCAGCCAAAAGACCCGTATCACCTTATAGTGGCTACAATGGGCAACTGTTGACCAGTGTGTACCAGCCCACCGAGATGGCCCTGATGCACAAAGGCCCGGTGAGTGGTTCCTGGGGCTTCCCTGTGGGTAGGTGGGGTAGAGAGGGCTGATGAGTGGGGGGGGGAGGGGGGGGAGGAATATGTGCTTGTCACCTGCGGCATCCACCCTTCAAATGTTGAGTGCACTCCTTAGTGTGTGTGTGTGTGTGTGTGTGTGTGTGTGTGTGTGTGTGTGTGTGTAGGCTGGCACTCTTATCACTTGAACCACAGCTCCACTTCCAGCTTTTAATGATTAATTGGAGATAAGAGTCTCATAGAGGGGCTGGGAAGGCCTTGCATGCATGAGGCCCTGGGTTCAATTCCTCAGCACCACATAAGCAAAAAGAAAAAAGCTGGAAGTGGTGCTGTGGCTCAAGTGATAGAGTGCTAGCCTTGAGCTGAAGAGCTGAGGGACAGCGCCCAGGCCCAGAGTTCAGGTCCTACAACTGACAAAAATAAAAGTCCCATGGACTTTCCTTGCCCAGGCTGGCTTTGAACAGTGATCCTCAGATCTCAGCCTCCTAAGTGGCTGAGATTACAGGCGTGAGCCACTGACACCTGGCCTGGATAGATACTTAGTTCTGAACCACAGCTGTCCCTAGAGGGCCTCTGACTCCCCCCACTCCCCCATCAGCCAACTAGTCCTGACCTTAAAACCTCCTTTGGGGACTAGAAGCCAGATGCTGCCTTGGGGGGAAGGGGGGCGGGACAGGAAGGCTGTGGGTCAGATTCCCACTCCATATATGTTCCGACTCCTGGCTGGCAGTGGCTGCTGGAGAGGTCAGCGACCTGCCTTGGCAGGATGCTGGGAACAGGAAGCCGGAGGTCAGCCGGGGGGCCATTCCCATCCCCTCACCCCTCCTGCTGAGCCTGGGGGCTGGGGTATCTGCAACTTCCAACCTCAGCTTCCAGACTGGGGAGAGCAGGCTGTGGCCAAGGGTAGGGATGGGCTAGAGTTTTTTTGGTTAGATCCAGAGCTCAGCCTGTCTTCTCCAGCCCCTGGCCCCAGTGGAGGAGCTGCCCCTCCACAGGCTGCCCTGTCTCTCCAGCCTCCCCAGTGTTAATGTTTGAGTATGATGTAGACTGTAGCTGGGAGACGCTTCCTGCCTGGTTCTCAGAGCCTGGTCCCTGAATAAGCATCCCCTGGGAACTTGTTGGAAATGTAGATATGAGGCCTGGCCAACACTGGGATAGATTGTCAGCCTTCCTTGGCATCTGCAACCTGGGATTGGTGAAGCTGCTGGAGTAGCCGGGGGTAACCCCCAAGAAAAGTCCGCAAACAGAACATCAAGGCTCCCTACTTCCCATCCCAGTGGTTAAACACTTGCCAGTTCCTCTGGGGGGTGGCCTCCCCGATCCCTGGAGGTGTGGCTGAAACAGTTACTCGGATTCTGGTTTGAGCCCAGGTTTGGGACCTCCAAAGGATCTAGGTGTTCCTGGAGTGGCAGGGCGGCCACCTGCACCCCTTCAGATAAGGTCTTGGGAATCTAGAGGTCTGTGGCAGTTCTTTTCCACTGGGATTTGGCAGGTGGGGCCGCAGGTTTACCACCCAGCCCCCACCACAGGAAACCATTGCCTTGGGACGCTGTTCCCAGAACCCACTGGCCAGCTGCAGCTCCAGAATTTAGAATATTTTTTGGGGGGCTGGGAAGTTGGCTCAGTGGTAGAGCGCTTGCCTTGCATGCGTGAGGCCCTGGGTTTGATTCCTCAGCACCACATAAGCAGAAAAAAAAAGCTGGAGGTGGCGCTGTGGCTCAAGTGGTAGAGTGCTAGCCTTGAGCTGAAGAGCTGAGGGACAGCGCCCAGGCCCAGAGTTCAGGCCCACAACTGGACCCAAAAAAAAAAATTAAAAAAAAAAAGAATATTTTTTTTGGGGGGGGCCGGTCGTGGGGCCTGAACTCCGGGCCTGCGCGCTGTCCCTCAGCTCTTCAGCTCAAGGCTAGTGCTCTACCACTTGAGCCACAGTGCCACCTCCAGCTTTTTTCTTTTTGCTTATGTGGTGCTGAGGAATCGAACCCAGGGCCTCACGCATGCAAGGCAAGCACTCTGCCACTGAGCCATCTTCCCAGCCCCCAGAATTTAGAATTTTAGTCTCCAAACCAGACTCACCAGCCCAGACTCCTACACCAAAGTTTCATGGACCTAGCCAGGGCCTAACGGAAGGGCACATGGTTTTATAGTGGCATTGAATGGGGTGGGGCATTAGCTATGATTCATCAGAGGAAGCTATCCACTAGTAATGTTACTAGTGGATAATAGCAGTTTAGTGCAGCTCAGCATCCAGTGGACTGGAGGCTTCCCTAAGGAACTAGAAAGCAGGAGAGAGAGCTTGGGGAAGAAAGAGGGTCCCCATCTGGGAAGCTCCAAGGTGGCCAGCGGGGGCTACAGGCCAGATGAATTAGGGGTTCCAGGAAAGCCCTCTTGTTTCCAAAAGTGGAGTTAGTCATCTGAGGCTGCTCTGGCTCTACTGGACAAGAAAGAGCATGGGCAGAAGGGACAAGAAGTGAGAGCTGGCAGGCAGAAGGCTGCCGGAAATGGAGTGTCTGCATGGGATTGGTCTGGGGGAGGCAGGGACCCTCCCCCGTGACTACCTGTTGTTTCTTCCAGGCTGAAACGTCTTATGACGTCATCCTCCCACGAGCCACCGCCAACAGCCAGGTGATGGGCAGTGCCAGCTCAACCCTGCGGGCTGAAGACATGTACATGGCCCAGAGCCACCAGGCGGCCACACCTTCCAAAGATGGCAAGAACTCCCAGGTCTTTAGAAACCCCTATGTGTGGGACTGAGGTGGCGGCGGCGGCGGCATGGCCAGGAGGAAACGGGGCGGATCTGGGGAGGGCCCTTGGGATCCAGCCCTGGCCAGGACCACTCCCTGCTCCCCCAGGGACCCTCGTGCTCTGTGGCTATTTGCTGGCTCCAAGCAGCTTGTGACTCGGAGCCAGGAGGTTCCCCCATTTGCCAATGTTGACTGTGGGAGGGTCCTCATCCTTGAGGTCCCTACCCATTCCTCAGTGTTTGTAGAGTCCAGGAACCAGTCCAGCTTGGTGCCTGGGCCACTTCCTGCTCTGGCCAAATGTGTTCTTGGGGTGATGGCCAGCCTGTGCCTACATTCTCTGGAGGTCTCTGAGCTGGCACCACGGGCCTGATCTTGCTCCTCTGTGAGGACCAAGGGTGCCTAATAAACACATTTCTGCTTTGTTAACTCACACTGTGGCCTTATGCTTTCTGACCCTCTCTCTTCTCCTCCACAGCCTGTGTGGGCTTCCATCCCTCCCTCCCAAAATTCAGCTCATGTTACCAGATACTGCTGGTGCCATCAGGAGTTGGCACCTCCACTCAGGGTGTTCTGAGGTGCAGTCTTCATCTATATCCACTATAATCAGAATGAACCCTTGGGCTTGGCTCCTTTTATTTTTTGTCAGTTGTGGGACTTGAACTCAGGACCTGGGTAATATCCCTGAGGTTTTTTTGCTCAAGGCTACCACTTTGAGCCACAGCTCTACTTCTGGTTTCTGGTGGTTCATTGGAGATAAGAGTCTCAAACTTTCCTGTCCAGGCAGGATTTGAACTACGATCCTCTGATCTCCTCAGCTTCCTAAATAGCTAGGATTATAGGCGTGAGCCACAGTGCCTGGCTTGTGTTTGGCTCCTGCCTGGGGTGTAGCCCCACAGTTGGGCTTGTATAACCTTAGGCAGCTTTCCCTCTGGGATCTCCTCTTCCTCTACCCCTCCCCCTCCACACTGGCTGCCTTTGGGGAACAGGGATGGCAGAACTATCACTCAGCAGGCAGTGTTCTGGGTTAAGAGGGAGCTCTGCTAATCTCACTTCCTCCTGGAAAGAAGAGAATGAAGGTCCCTTAGGGGATGAGGGATAAAATGACACCCTGCGAGGTAAGAAAGATGGTTCAGAGAAGGCTAGGGTTGTTTACAGCATGGATTTAACCGAGGCGCAACTGGGTCCTGGCTGGCTCAGGAATTACAGTATTCATTTGCTCAGGACTTTACTGTCAGAAAAAGCCTTTCCCCTGCAGCTGTCCCAGGAGGCAGACAATACCACCATTCTCCTTTCTAGACCCCACATCTCAGAATGGAACCATGTTAGGCTTAAGCAGAGCCTTAGGAAGTTGATCCTAAGAGACCCAGGGAGGCTGCACAGGACCTCTGCAGGTGACAAGACTAAAACCAGGTTTTCTTCCTTCCTTTTATGCCAGTACTGGGGATTGAACTCAGAGCCTGGCACTCTGTACTCCCAAGTCAGTGCTCCACTGCTTGAACCATACCACCTCTGGCTTTTTGCTGATTCAGTAGTGATAAGAGTCTCTTGTATTTTGTCCGCCGAGGCTGGCTTTAAACCCATGGTCCTCAGATCTCAGCCTCCTGAGTAGCTAGGAAAAACAGACCTGAGCCACCAGTTCTCAACTTGACCAGGTTTTCTTGAGACTGCGGTGTCCTGGGTTATGGCTGGAATGGAGCTTCTGTATCCTAATCCTGTGACACAGCTTTTCTAGGGAGCTGGGGAGGGGCCCGCCCATCATCCCCAGCCTGGAAATGTTTGTTTCTGACACTGGTTATAAGGGGAAACATATTTGCGTTGAAAGGGAGAGAAAGGTTGCCGGAAGCAAAAATAAAACTCGCAGCCTTATCCTGTGTTTAGATGGCATGTGTCCTCCTGGGAACAAACTTTATTTTGATTTAGCACTGCATCAATCGTACTTGGGCTCAGGACATTCGGATCCTTCCCCTTTGACTCTTGTTCTTTCTGGTTGCTTTAGGCTCAGTCCCCGCAAAATAAAACGAGATGGTAGACGCCCTCCCTGGACTGCACGGTATCCTGATGCCCTCTTTGCTCATGCCCACGCTGAGCAGGGCCCAGCACCTTTCTTTCCCAACCTTGTTCTTGGAGCTGGGAGGGACTGGAGGCCATCAATCAGAAGCAGTGCACTGAGTGAGGGGACTGGGAAGGCCTGAGGCACGTGACTGGGGCTCCTAGGGCCACCCTACCCTGTCTCTGTCCATGCCAGCCTCTTGTTCCCTGAGTGACAACATGTATGAGGAGCTGGCTGCAGCTGCTGCTCACCTTCTCCTGATACTTCATCGGGCCTCATGCCTCCTGTATGTGCATGTGTGTCAGTCCTGGGGCTTGCACTCAGGGCCTCTAGCTTGGACTCTAGCTTGTTACTTATTTTTTCCACTCAAGGCTGGCGTTCTACCACTTGAGTCACATCACTTCCAGCTTTTTGCTGGTTAACTAGAGATAAAAAGTTTCTCACATTTGTCTGCCCAGGCTGACTTCCAACCTCGATCCTCCAGTCTCAGCCTCTTGAGTCGCTAGGGTTGCAGGTGTGAGCCACTGGTACCTGGCTGACATTGGATCTGTGTTGACATTGGATCTTCCTGGCCTTTGCCCATCATCCTGTTCCCACTCCGCCTGGGTGAATTTCCTGCATGAGTCTTGAGAAGCTAAACCATCCAGAAGCCATCCCTCACTCTTCTCCCCGGGGGACCTTCTGTCACCACACCTGGATTGTGGAAAGGAAGATCATGGAGCTGGGGGCAGAGCTCAGCACGGCTGGGCGTTGTTTTTCTTCATGGCCTGTGGGTCCCAGATCCCACTGGACCTTGACGGTGACCCTGACCCTGACTGAGCCTTCCCTGTCTCCAATGAACTGGGTCCCGCTGGCTGTTCTCTGCTCCCAGCTGCCCCTCAAGGAGCGCTGAGGAGTGACGTTCCTTCAAGGGGCCCAATGAGGAATTGGGGCATTGGCAAGTCACCGTGCTCTCTCCCTGGCTCTTCTGTCTGGATATTTTTGGTTTCTCACGTGGTTTACAAGGCAGCCCCTGGACCTGCGCAAGTGTAGATGTCCCTGTATTGCCTTCATTGCACAGGTTCTGGGGGCTCAGCTGGCACCCACTGGAGCACCCTGTGGATGCCGAGCAGTACTCTCAGGGACTAGGTGACTTGAGGGTCTGAAGACTTTGCTGGCTCAGACTTGGGGGACATGGGGAGACCCCTGAGGCAGATGGAATCCAGGACTGAATATCTCACTGGTTTTATTTTTGTCAGTCATGGGCCTTGAACTTAGGACCTAGGTGCTGTCCCTGAGGTCTTTTGCTCAAGGCTAGCACTCTACCACTTGGAGCCACAGCGCCATTTCCAGTTTTCTGGTGGTTCATTGGAAATAAGTGTCTCAAGGACTTTTCTACCCAGGCTAACTTCAAACCTCAATCCTCAGATCTCAGCCTCTGGAGTAGCTAGGATTACACATGTGAGCCTCTAGCTCATGGCAATCTCACTGGCTTTATCTGGCAGGTATGTCAGTTTCCACCTTACTTGGGGTAGCTGATGCCCTTGGGGCACCTGGATATGCCAGGACTGCCTTCGTCACCGGAGGAGCTTGTTGTGATCTGGGCCTTAGGACCTGCTCCTGGGAGTCCTGATGGCTGCCACTCAGCTAAGGGGGAGCCATTTCTGGGAAATGCATACTTCTGGTACCAAGGGCAGAGACTGAGCACAGCTGTCTCATGGGATATCACCATAGCTTCCTCTGCCCTGCCCTTTGCCTTGCCCTTGGACACCAAACAGAACTGACTCTTCCTGAGAGTAGCCTTGAGTGTGACTTTCCACCCAACATCACCCTGCTATGGTCAGATTACAATCCTCCAGAGCCACCCTCATGTCCCCACAATCTGTGCCTTGGTTACTAAAGTATTTTCTCAGAGCTTACCAGGTGAATGGTCCTCACAGAGCAAGGCTGTACCCTGAGTGTGACCTCTACCTTCACCTCTCCAATGAATCCAGTTGCAATATTTACCTTAAAGGGAAGTGGCGGGGGGAGGCTGGGAAGGGGAAGACGGGGGGGGTGCTTCGTGTACCTCAAGACTGCTTTTGATCTGGGGTAATAGCCTCAAGATCCCTTCCAGTGAACAAAAGCACTGAGTCACTAAGAATATCAGACAGCCAGTGGTGCAGCACTTGGTGGATGGCAGGAGGGTGTGACCTGCAAGCTCAAAAAGGAGGGGCTCCCAGCAGATGAAGGCTAGTGGAAGTGAAGGCTAGCCCGGATGCAGGAGCTCCTTGGGGTCCTGAATCCTCCAGTCCTGGACCAAATGGGGAAAATGGATGCACTCCTGGGAGGAGAGTCAGGTTGTGTTATACACGTCCTTGAGTGGGAGAAAACTTGCCTGGGCCAGAGCCAGGTGCAAGTGTACTTACCAATGGCTTGATAAATTTCACACACACCCTGTCAAATCCTGTAGCTCAAAGCAGGAGTTTCCACTTCATAACTGCTTAGAATTAAAGGACTTGTTCCCTCCATCTGTGAGGGGTTCCTGCCACTGAACTGTATGTATATGGAATGTCTGTTTGTCTGTCTATCACTTTATCCAGGCTTCTATACCAGCAAAGGTTGTTTGATTCCAGCCATCCTTTCTTAAGGTCAAGATCAGGGACTTAGACTAAAGGGGAAAATGGGGCCACCAAAGACATTGAGTTATTGACTAGCTGAGTCTAGAGATCAGTTGACCTCCACACAAGAGATGGAAGGGGTAGGACCAGCCCTGCTGCTTCCTGATATGGCTGGAACACAGCCAGGAGAGCCCCTTGGTGAATAGGGGTGTCCGGCCCAGAAGGAGCTCTATAGCTACCTGGTCAGGAATATCTATCACATGCCATTCCTGGCTTTTCCAACATCCTCAGGACTCTGCCCTTAAAGTAGGGGGCGGGGGTACTTGAACTCAGGGCTTTTAGCTCTCACTTGGCATTTTTTGCTCAAGACTGGCACTTTACCACTCATACCACAGCTCTGCTTCTGTCTTTTTGGTGGTTAATTGGAGATAAAGAGTCTCACAGACTTCTGCAGGAGCTAGCTTTGAACGATAATCCTTAGATATCAGCCTCCTGAGTAGCTGGGACTACAGGCATGAATCACCTGGTTTGGCTGTGACTTCTATGGGAGTAATCTGCAGCTAGGCTGCCAAACAAACCTAGGGTATTGGCTCATCTATTTTCCAGGTGAGGAAACTGAGGGAAGGCCAAGGGAGCTGTCCAGCATCACAGAGCAAGAAAAAGCCAGTATCTCAATCCAGTGGTAGGTTCCTACACCATGTTCTGTCCAATCTGTACAGCTACCTCCTGCTTCAAAGCAGTCAAGTTCCTGGTGCCCAGCTTCTTCCCTGAGTGCCACTCTGGCCATCACTTGCCATCCTGGG